CCCGACACTCATTGGTATTATACCCAATGTCCTAGTGGTATCGGCAATATTTTTGCCGATCCCTTTTGCTTGGAGCCCCCTTCATCCTTTCTAGAGCGGGCAATCTCTTTGCCTCACGGGAGACTTCATAGATGTGAGCTATGTCTCACGTGAGGGGGGTATATTCTGCATATCGTGGGAAGGGCTGCCTGTCCTCGTGATTATCTGTTCTTTGCCTTTTTTAGGACCTGTTGCAATCTCTATATTACTGTCTTGACCCCCGAACTTGTCTGACGGGTGATCCTATTGCTTGTCTGATGGGCGATCCTATCGTCTATCCGGGGCTCCTTGCATCAAGCTTCTGGCCAGCGCTGCCAGCGAGTTTTCCACTCGCTGGTGTTTTGCAGCCATTTGGTAAAACTTGGTCAAGCTCAAGTGATCTTTGCTCTGGAGCTCTTTCCACATCTTTTTGTTTGACCTGATGCCTACAATCAGCAAAGTTCGAATGGACTCCTCGGGTGCATCCATAATCTTCACTTGTTCATTCTAGAACCTCGTCAAATACAAGATCAGTGTTTTGTCCCTCTCCTGACGAATGTTGCTCAAGTAATTGAGAGGCATTACGAACTGTCTCCTCACTTGAAATTGCTGTAGGTATAGCGAGGAGAATTGTTGCCAGGAATTGATAGAGTTCTCTTTGAGTCTCTTGTACCACCTCTTGGCATACCCTATTAATGTGACTGCAAAACAGCGACATTTTGCCAAGTCACAGACCTGGTGTAGCTCCATCAAGTCATTGAAATTGTCGAGGTGGTCCCTAGGGTCCCCTTTCCCATCGAATTTACTCTCAGATGCCTTGAATCCTTATGGAAGTGGGGTTTGGTGACCCTTCTCTGTGAAGGGGAAACTCACTATTTTTTCCATTGCACCGTTCTGGCGGGCCTTTAGATCGTCGAGCATTTTCTACATGCGATCTAAATCTTCATTGTGGTTGCCTTGGCTGGCTCGATTCAGCCTTACTTTGAGCAAGTGAGTTTGCAAGTCCGTGGCTTGCAAAGCCCCTTCATTGCGTGCGTTGATGCACAAAGTCTAGTCATGATGGCTAGGCCGATAGGTGTTATCATTCTCATCGGTGCGTTGCTTGCTATGTCGATTATAACCGGAACGTCAATCATTGTAGGATTGGTGCACATGACTCATCTCGCGAGCTTGCAAGGATTGAGCCTGTCTCGGGCGTGGGTTAAGACCAGCACGCTGACGCTGGGGATGCCGCTGGGCGTCTAAGGGGTGACCGTTGCCTTCGTTCTCATCCAATGGTTACTTCCCTGGCCGCCTCCCATGGTTAGTTTGCCCACGGGATTCACGCTCGTGAGCGGAGTGAAGTTTATGACGGCGAAGGTATCAATTGTCTCTTGGCACCAACAAGTCGGACTAGCCACCTGTTGAATTCATACCTGTTGGGGAGGCATTGGCGAAACGTGGTTGGTCGAGGTTCTAGGCAGGTGGTTACTGATTTCTCAGCTCAACCACGTTTTATTGCACCGCCTATGCAACCATTGTTCTGATCATCACCACTAGTTGGCCGTTTTTGGGGTGTGACGTCCCTGCCCTCTGGTTATTCGTGACGTGCAAAGTTGGTGGCACAGGTGGTCGACGTCTAACGGCATCCTATTACACCTCCTGATGGGTGGTTTCCACATTTTCGTGGTTTTCAGTGGTGGTCTTCGATCCGGTACTCACCATGGCGAGCCTGAATTGAGTAGGTTGCTGTGGTTGTTCGCTGGAATTTTTGAGATGTTGGCGGAGGCCCTCCTTCTAGCGCCAAAATTTTGATACGAAAATTTGCACCAACCAGAGAGATCTGATTGACCCTGGTGGAATCAGATCGGATGTGGACGTGATTATGGATAATCAGCAATGGGTGAATGATAAGTGCAATAAAGTAAAAGATAATAAGATTTTTAAAGTGGTTCAACGAGGTAACCTCTTATGCCTTCTGATAAAGGGATTACAATTGATTTGAACTGCAAATTCGATATTTTCGCGATTAGGCGTTGTGATTGCACAGAGATTGCTGTTAATCTAGTCATTCCGCAATATCTAGGATCTGAAATTATCTGGGAATTGATTGAACGATCATTCAAGTTGTTCATGACTAGCTTATGCTGGGTCGAGTTATATGTCGACGAGCTTATGCTAATTGGATAACTAATAGAGTTGGACTAATTCTGGGTCGATCTAATACCTCGCAACTCACCGAGCTTGATAGAAAAATCACACACAACACCCTTGACTACCTCAATTGAACACAAGCTACACTTTAGCAGTTGAGTCAACAAGAATCACTAGGCAAATGCAGGGAAATCAAGACTGTTACTAAGCTTGTATATTAACTCCACCTAATTTTTTTTTTTTTCCAAAAAAGAAGAACAAACTGCCACCATCCACTGAATGGTCGGCGGTGCTCTTCCTCATCCTAACTATTTAAAGAAGCGGGGTTTATCTCCAGTCAAAAAGAGAAAGGTGAGGGCTGAGAAAAAACCTTCTCATCCATGGATTATAGCTTCAGTAAATTGCAGGACACTTTAATTTTTTAGTTACAAAATTGTCCCCCAAACTAACAAATTTTACTTAAATCAGTTACTTGGTAGTTGATACTGCATTTGTTGTGTAATGTCTTATATACCCTAGAAAAAAAATATAAATCCCTAACCCTAAAAACAAACCCACTCTGTAGCAAATCCCACCACCGTCTACCACCATATACCACCGCCTCCTCACCTCTTCCTCCACTGTCCCTTTTCTTCACTCTCTTCTCGCATCAATAAAAGTGACATCATTCAGCCTCTAATTCTTCAATTAATCTCAGGGCACAAACATCTCGCCATCCCCTTTTTTTTTTTGAAAAAGAAACTTCATCGACTTTTTTGGGGTCATCGTTTTTTCATTGTTGATTGTGTTGTGTGGTGTTGTAGGGTAGGGTGATTTTTGCCTGGTGAAGTGGATGCAGATATAATTTTTTTAGGGTTGTGGGGCGGGCAAAGGAGTGGTGAGTTCCTGGCTATGAGGGTGGGGTGGCTTTGCGGAGCATGGGAGATAGGTGGGTGGGGGTATCGGCAATTGTTGCTGGGTGAAAGAGGGGAGATAAGTGGGTGGGGGGATCGCAATTGTTGTTGGGCGAAGGAGGGGAGCTATTGGTTGGTGAAGGATTGATGATATTTTGGTTCTGGATTTTTTTTTTTTTTTTTTTGGTTTCTATTCGACGGTGGTCTTAAGTGGTTTTGTAGGAAAGAAAATGGCTTTTTCCAGAACACCCCCTCAAACATAAAACTCTGACATGGGACTCCTACCAACTTGGGAACTAGCCACTTCGACCCCCTATCGTGAGTTTTTGCTGTTATTTTGGACGTAAGACTGTAGTTCACTGAAGGAAAGACAAAAACACCCTTAATAATGCTTCCACATTCTACAATTACATATATGTCCATAGGTTTTTTTATGATTTGATCAGTGGACGCATGTAATTTTACTAAAGCATTTGCATATAAATATTCAAACAAATTATTAAAACCATTTATTTATATTTCTTTTAACATTTTATTTTTATAAACTAAAAAATTAAACATACATTTTAAATATATATTTTCTATAAATTAAAAGCTACAAAAATAAAAAGTCAAAATATTTTTTGCATTTAAAATATAAAAACTAAAAAAAAAAAAAAAGATACTTTTCTAAACTACATTTTTTTCTCTAAATTGAAAATTGAAAAATAAAAAATAAAAATATTGATTTAAAAAAAAATAGATTATTGTTGCAATATGGGATTATTATAGCAATCTCAATTGTGATCTTAGATTACATTTTGTGATCTAAAAAGATTTGCTTTCAATAATCCGAGATTGTTGTTTGCTGACAATCAAAGATTGTTGTTCCAACAATCTTTCATTAGACAATCTTAGCTTGTCGTTTTCAACAATTTGGAATTTTCACAGATCTTAGGTCATCGGAAACGACAATTTTTTCTTTAGAATTTTTTTTAATTTTTTTCAAAAAAAGAATATCAAACTTAATTTTTTTTTAAATATGTTTGAAATATTTTATTTTATATTTCTATATTTAAACATAAAAAGTCTATTTTGCTCTTTCCTCGGTTAACTTTAACATCAGAAATTGACGGCAAAGGTTTAGGTGGCTAATTGTGCAGTTAGTCGAGGTCCCTTGTCAGTTTTTTGTTTGAGGGGATGTAAACATTCAAAATAAAATAGTATTGAATTTGAAGAAAAGAGATTTAGAGAACTTTATTTTAATTTTAACAAATCACCTAAATTTTTCTTTATTTAAAATTAAAAAGAATTCATGGTCAGGTTTTTTTGATACTGACGAAAGTAAAAAATACTTTTTACCCATTAGTTTTTCACTGACAGTAGTTTGAGGGACCTTTTTGTCAGTAAAAACAAGTCCTTCATGGTAGTACACCAAAACCATAGGACTAAAATGTTTTGACCCGGTGAGAGCTGTATCGCATTGTGACGAGTTCAAAATACTAGGATATACACATCTATGATAACAAATGTTCATAAAAAAAAAACAATATTATACTTACAACTAAGTCATACGAAAAACAAAAAATATAATAGTTATTTTACATAAATTTTGTATAATTTTCGTTTGTTTATATAACTCACTTATAAATGAAAGATCATTGTATAAGAAATACATATTTTGGGGATAGAGTCTGAACTTTTAAAACTAAGGCAATATCAAAATGAGGGATATTATAGTCTGCAATCATCAAAAGTATTCAAATTAAGTGATTAATGTAAACATTTATTAAATTCAATCCGGGGTAAACTAAGTACAGTATTTTAAAACTCCGGACCTAGATTAGTTTTCCAAAACCTCTGGGTTGATAAAGACTTTCTCTTATTTTTATTTCTGCGTGGAGTTAAAAGACTAATATACCCTTATTCTGTTGAAGTTAACGACTGACTATTGCCGTTGGAGTTGTATAATTACTGAATTATATTGCTCATGACTCAATGATGAATTTTGTTGCTTGGATTAGAAAGCTAAATTCTAAACACGGTGAGAATTGGGGAAGATGCATATGGAAGCTCAAAAGTATTTGTGGGAAGGAGCAATTCCACTTCAGATTCATCTCCATGAATCAGAAGTCACCACTCTCCCTCCTCCACCTCCCGCTTTGGTATCTATTTTTTTTTTCTTTTTCTTTTTTTAATTTCATTTGATTCTCGCAAACAATTGTATTTTCTTTTTAGGAATTTGTATAAAATTGTGTTTATTTATTCTCAGATCTTGGCTCCACGGATGGGCTATCTCCCGTTGTTATCTGCTCTTGTAAAGCCCTACTTTAGCAGTGCACTTCCTCCTGGTGTTGACACCGTTTGGTTTGAGTACAAAGGGTTGCCTCTCAAATGGTATTATTTTGTTTTTAGTTTTTGTAATTGCATTGTGATTGCTTAATTCCAACTGGGTGTTTTGTTTTGTTTGTTTATTGTTATTTTGCAGGTATATACCTACTGGAGTTCTTTTTGATCTTCTATGTGCAGAACCAGAAAGACCTTGGAATTTGACGGTATTCATTTTATAAAGTTGTAATCTAATACATTATGACACTAGTTTTCGTTTTCTGATTTATGAAATTTAATTTAATATCCACCAAAGTGAGAAGTTTGTAACTGTTCATAAAATTGTAGGATGTTAGCAAGCTTGTTTAGTGAATTTTTATCATTACCTGGTCCTTTTTGGACTGAATGAAATCTCAGATTTGATATGTTTTCTGTTTTAAAGATATCTGTATGTGATTTAAGTTTTACTTCATCAAGTTGTGCTTGTGGGAGCTGAGAGATATGTGCTGAAATTGCAGGGAAAAAAAGAAGACATGGAAGCTAATTTTGTGGCTAGATTTGATGTTTTTAAGGGTCCATTAATACAAATGATAGTTTTTACTCTAGGATTCACAGCCTTTAGATCGATGATTCCTGACTTCCTTCTTAAAAATCTCTGTTGCACATACATCCTGACATATTTAATTTTGAACTGTATTGGCTGTGTATATTCTTTATGTTTTTATTTTTATCTTTGTTTCTCAAATTAAAGGTTAACTTTAGCTTTTTCTCCAGGTACATTTCAGAGGATATCCTGGAAATATATTGATCCCATGTGAAGGTGAAGATTCTGTGAAGTGGAGCTTTATTAATTCATTGAAAGAGGTTAGTGTGTTTTTGCTGTTATTCTGATTGATAGAGCTGTGTAGATTTCATTAATTTGGTTATCTAGAATAACATTAGCATGGAACTTAACCTGCATTTTTTATGAAATTTATGACTATTATGGTTAAAAGGTAAATCTTTTGACTATTATGGTTAATTGGCTGGAATTGGTGTCTCATTTGAAGTCCAATAATCCTGACTAGAAATTATATTTACTCATTTGCTCAATTATTGACATATATATGAAGATTGTAATTAAGTTTAACATTCATTCTTTATTATTTTATTACATGCAAGAAGCTATGAGTTATATTGTACTTGATATAAGAGTATGAAGAGAGTCCCATTTAGAGAGCATATACATTATGGGCCTAAAAAACTTATCATTTTTGTTTACAATTAGTTTATGAAGTTGGACACTTCATGAAGATTGTAATACACTAATTTTCATATGATATGGTAGCTAATCTTAATCACAAAAATGGAGATTTTGAATAAGTGTGTCAATGTCCCCTTCAGCAAATTTACTATTGTTCTAGGAATGACCAAATCCGTAATATTTATCTTATCCATCTCAATCACCTTTTTCAGCTGGCTTTGTTTTGGTTTCTTGTTGATCGTTGGAGGTTGGAAAATGTGTTTTCAATCTTAGGTAATGTATTAATGATTTGGAATTGTATTAAACTAACCTAGTGAAATATTTATACAGCCAAAAGCACCGTATCTAGATAAAATATTATTGCAATGTTCATGTTTTGGTTGTAACTTTTTTTATCTTTGATTGAGGTGATTCTATATCCCTTTAAACTAGAACCGATTCTTTACAAAAGTGTCTCTTATAGTATTTGTAAGTTTGAATGATTTGATGGTCAAAGTAGGTTTAAAGATGACACAAGGATTCTATCTTGTAAATGGATGCCCCAATAAATTTAAATTCTTTCACCCAAACTCTATTTAAAGGCTTTTTTAACAAGGCTAGAGATTCCCTTTAATGTGAACAATTATCATAACAATTAGGTGATCACAAACCTGAAATTCCAATTGTGAGACTCTAGATGCATGATCTACTAAGTTCTGTGATGACTATTCACGTTAAGGTAAGTCTCTTATCTCTAAAGAAGCCTTTAAAAAGAATTTGGGTGGAAGATTTTTAAGAAGTTGGGACTTTTTGTGAGGTAAAATCTGCGTGTCATCTTTAAGCTCTATTTTGACTTTCAAATTTGTGAATATCATTGAAAATACTTTTTGTAGATAATCTTGTCTTATTTACAGCAAATAAAAAATCACCTCAATTTAAGATCAATAACGAAATGTATAGTTGGACTCACTATAGTAGGAAGAGGTCCGTAGAAGTTTCAATGGAAGGAGGAGATTGATCGAATCTTGTGATGAAAATATGGTATGTCAAGATCAGAAACATCAGGAGGAAGTCTCTGAGGGATTAGGATTCAAGTCATGATAAGTTTCAAGATAAAGAAATTATGCATAATTTGATTTTGTTCTTCCGCTGTTTTTAAAAACCAACACTGCCCCTGCTCTCTATTTTTAACTTATCTAATCAGAGCAATGTTAGTATCTCGCCTACAAAGATTTATGGTGAAAGACAAAGAATGAACCTAACAAAGTCTATTTATCACTTTGCAGTAATTTCTTTTAGATTCTTCTATTTGAGATGATTTTCAAGTAGATAGAGAAAAGATTTATTCTTTCTATCATTGCCTCTTATTGTAATCAATTACACCTACAGGCAGCATATATAATTAATGGAAACTCCAAAAATGTCATGAACATGTCTCAATCTGACCAGTTGGAGCTTTGGAACTCTGTGATGAGCGGTATGTCTTCTCATTTATTAGGAGTGTCATACAATTATCTTGCCCTTCCTTTTTTTTTTTTTTTTTTAAATTTCATTTTGTAGTAGTTTTACTTGATCTCAGTATTTCTCTTGATGCAAAAGATGGGTAATGTTGTTTACCATTCAAATTGATGAATTTTAGCATAACTCTATAAGTCACAAGCGATGATGAAATGTCAACCCACATTAGAATTTGTATTAATACCTGTACCTTTCTACTGGATTTTATTTTTAGGTAAAATGTCCATTCTGTAACACAAGATGGTCAAAATCTTTCTTGTTCCTCAAATAAATCTCTCTAATTAACACTTGATTAGCCTGTAGATTGAGAGGAGTATTTTGGGGGATTTTTCAGGTTGATGGTGATGATCTGATAGAACATTGATATCAGGAATGAGTGGACAAGTCATCTAGTTTAATGTTATAAGATTTAGCACGTGTGAAAATGCTCTTATATTCATCCTCTTAAAAGAATGTAACTACCTTTTGGCTGTAAAGGCAGCAGTTACAAGCTGTTTAGTTTGTTCATTTGCAATTTTGGTCAATTGTGTAGCAGGTAATCTGGAAGCTTACCTACGAGTGTCATCTAAACTTAAACTTGGAACAGTTGAAGATGAGTACACCATAAAAATGAACTTGTCAACTAAATCTGGACAAGGAACTGGTGAGACAGATATGGCTGGACAAGTGAAGACAGGTTAGTAAAATCATATACTTGTTTTAGAGAATTAATAAACAAACCTTTAGGAAATCGCAGTTGAAAATTGCTGGAAACTGCTTAATTGTTACCTCTTAGGAAAGTGGTGATTCATATGGTCTGTTCTGTTACTTGCTCTGGAGGTAGTAATTAAAACTGGAAAGGGAAGGATGGAAAAGAATAGAAATGTTGTTTTCTGCAGTCTGCTTCTCATTTCTTTCTTTTCTGTCTTTTATGTAACAAAGGAACCTATCCTGACTGCGAACCAATTTTCTATACATAGGATTCTCTTCTCTTTTATAAGATAAATTTATATCTTTCGATCAACACGACCGACGATGAACATGCACGTAGTTCACTTTTGAAGATATAAATTACAGTAGAGATACTCATACTCAACTACAAGCAACATGTGAGACCACCAAATGACCACCAAGTGGCAGAAATATGATCATAGTCACTTGACTGGTTCATTATTCTTATTGGATGAACAATTTGCTTTATATGATAAGCATTAAACTTATGTGCCTGCCTGCAAATCCTTACTGATTTAGAATCAGAAAGATTTTTAATTCATTTTCACTCCAAAATATGTGATTTTGTAGTTCGCTGATGCCTTTATTTTAGCTCTTCTTTACAGGAATTGACAACAGTTCTTTTTATTATCATCTGACTTTTTATTAATATGAGAAAAGGAAAAGAAACGTGTGGCTTTCATGTTTTGTTAATGTCAGAATTCCTGCTTACTTTGTCTTGGTGTTAGTCAAATATGTGCTTTCTTATTGTCTGATTGTTTTTCCAGGTAGAATTCCAGTTCGATTGTATGTTTGGAGTGTCAATGAAGATTTTCATGATTTAGAAGATGCTCCTAAAATTGATAGTTGGGATAAAATCTCTTTTATAAACCGACCAGCTGAGATTCACACAGAAGAAGGTAAGTCGTGCCCTTGATTGATTTGTGATACCTTGTTAGGAGTTCGTGGACATGGTGAGCTCAGTTTTCATATAGGAGTGTGTGGTGTACTCAGTTTCCGTCAATTTTCTGTTTTTCGCTTTTTACTTATATTGCAGCGCAATGTCATGGGAAGAAGGAATATCGTATTGATAAATGTTTTACTTTTCATTTTTTCATGTGAAATAGGAATTACAATTAAATAAATAGCAGAAATATTGCATATGGAATTATATATGTACCAGTCCATGATATGGATAAATTGTGTTAATGATTGTACTTTTATGTGAAATAGAAAATTACAATTAAGGAAAAAGGTGAAATATTTCCTATGGAATTATATGTGTGTCTGCCCTTGTGATTATGGTATCCACATGAATTATGTTTATGCCATGGTTGTCCCATAGACTACTATTTTGTGGACTTCGGCAAATACAGCTTACTTGATAACATGTCCGGATTCAGCAATGTGCATGTCTGGCTATGATAATTTTTTGATTTCCAAATGTGGTGGATACACCATATTGTTTTGAGCCTTTATTCCTACACCTTTATAGGCAGCCACTTTTTGACATGAATGTCGAGAGTTATAGTGTGAAAATTATCCAAAAGGATTCTATTATAATGATGTCTGCAGTTAGGAAATAACCAAGATGCTTTTATGATAGGATTTTTAAAGCATGTGACCAAGTTCTCTCTTTTCTTAGAGCATGTATTGCAGTGCTGTGGTTGTAAACTGCTTCACTGTTCTCATGAACTTGCATCCCTTTCTTATTCTTAAAATGCAGGTAAATGCTTCACATTACACGATGCTCTTAAAGGGCTTCTACCAGAATTTTTCTCTGACTTGCCCTTGATTGGTGAGGAATCGCCAAAACTAGAAGACGAGGATAAAACGAAAATTCCTTCAGAAGATGCCAGCAGCAATAGAAGTGCAGAAGAAGGGGTTGAAAATTTATGTGAACATATGGAGTCATCGTGCACAACCACAATTGCCGAAATCAAACTTGTCCGCATCCAAGGGATAGAACCGAAACTGGAGATACCATTCTCATGGGTGGTAAACAACTTAATGAACCCTGAGCACTTCCTTCATATCTGCATTTGTATCAAAGTTCCAGCAGGTAATACTATATGATAGGTCGCGCTTCAACTATTCTTTTTCTAAATTCATTGCGTTCTCAGTTGGGATCACTTCACTGTTGCCTTTCGTTCAAAAACAATTCATTTATTGTATAGAATTGTACAGAATAGATTTCACATTGTATTGATTCTCTTTGAGCCAAACCAAACAGAAGAAAATAGCAATATCAAAGAAAAAAGAAAAGAAAATGCATTTTACAAGAGATTATTGATCTTCAATTACTTTTAAAATTATGTAATGTATTTAAATTTCTTTTATTTTATCTATTTTAATGGTTTAGTTTGATACACATAGATGATGCGGTGTGTCTATAAATATCCAAAACTATCAAATTATTCATAGACAGTAGGCTCATATCTGGAGTTTGATAAATCAGAAAGGCTTTATCCTCTTAACCAAGAAACTTCTTTGACTTTTGAAAATTTTCAGACTTTCATCTCCTACATAGATTATAATTTGCTTCACTTCTACTGAACTCTAAAGAACAAAACGAAGATGATATTTTTTTGTGATTGGTACTAAACAAACAAAGTCTCTAAATAAAGTTTCTGTATTACTATGTTACTATGTCATTTAATATTATATTTATCAATAAGAAAAATGTTATTTTTACAAAAACAATACAAAGAGAGCTACAAAGTGACATTAGCAGGAAGGAAAAAATAAAGAAAAAACGGAAAAAAAGAGAAAGAAATCATGAAGATGAAGGGTGAAAATTGTTTTTGTATGCCCTCTTTGTATTTGTCTTTGTAAGACTAGTATTGTTCTATCAATAAAGATAAGTTGACAAAGGAATTTGACAAACTTTCTCTCACAACTCCAACGTGGCAATTGAGAATTGATTTTTGATAAATTTTCTCGTCTGATGAATTCATCAGAAATCAATTATTCGCTTTCATATTGGGTTTATGAGAGAAAGTTTTCCAACGTAACAATTGATAATTGATTTTTGATGAATTTTCTCGCCTGATGAATTTATTAGAAACCAATTATTAGCTTTCATATTAGATTTATGAGAGAAAGTTTATAAGATTTGTTTATCAGTGTAGTATTATTCTATATTTGTTAAGTTGACAATTGACATGGGACTTTGTATGCAAATTGAATACCATTTTTATAATGAAGTTATTTGATAAGAAGGTCGATTTGGGAATTAATTATGGGTTGAAAAAGAAAATTTTATCGATTTTAAAAGTTCATTGGAGTTACTGAGATCTAAGATGCCACGGAATATGAGTTACTGGGTCAGCCCATTCTGCATTGACCAAAGAATGTTGGGCTAAAACTATGTAATTTGAAATTTCAACAATGATGGTACTAGTTTTGATGTTCTTATTAATTGTTATTTTTTGTTTTATTTATACATAATAAAGTAGAATTCGATCCATTCTGTTTCATAATTTCCAAGCAACTTTTGATGTCTGAAATTGCTGCAGTTTGCTGCTATAGCTTTTTCTTTTTGCAGCCAAAAAAGGAAATAAAACCCATTAAAGTGATATATGCACAGATTCACTCATATTCTTCTTTCTTTTTCTATAATGATAAATATGAAATAATGAATTATAGACAAGTTCATAAAGAAGGACCCTACGTAGAGTTGAGCTTAGATTTATAGGATTTGACAGTGGAGATAGGCAGAGTAGAGATCCCACAAAAGTTTTAATTCTTCTGCATGGGCCGAAACCGAACATATGCATGGTTGAAGATGAAGCAAGCTTCTAGCATGTCTCCTACCCTTTTGTCGTAATGTTTTGTAATTATCTTGAATAGGGCATATGGAAATGAGAGGCAAGTTCAGATTCAAAGCTTCTAATTAATTTTCCCCATAATAATATTAATTCATATAATGCCCACACCACATGTGTTGTCTGCCCCGTAGTCCAAGGAAATTTTGCAACATTTTGCTCCAATCAACCTACCCTAGCCTGCCTAGCTACTCTCATTTTTGGATTTATTTATATTTTGAGATTCCAATTTCTTATAATCCAAATGGTAGGCGCTTTCTGTCTTTATTTTCTTGTCATTTTATCACGTATATTGGGAAGCAGCTTAATCAATCTTCTTTAAACTTGGTGGTTAAATGAAACAATATCCTATCAGCTGTGCCACATTTTATTTCAGTGGGGGTTTAAGATAAAAAAAAAAAAAATGATGGTTATATGAAAACTCACCAGAGTTTTCCATGGACAGTGGGGGCATGATATAAAGTTTAAAAAAAATAATCTTACGATCTATATTAAAAGCTATAACTTTTGATTTGTGACAAGCGTATCATCTTAACGTTCATTAATTTTGTGTGATACAATAACAATAGAAGATGTAAATGATATTTGGGAAAGCACAAAAGATGTCCAAATTTTTTAATGAATGTGTCCAAGATGTAAATCAGTGAAGGTGATATACTAATTTGTGTCTCTATTTTCTTGGCATTTCATCACTGATTGGGAAGCTTAATCAATGTTTTTCAAGTGAATTATTAACACCACCTGTTACTATTATGGTAGATATAAATCACTATCAATATCACCCTTAGTTTAGATTAAGGGGTTAAAATTAGCATGTTTTAAGAAAAAAAAGTTACAATTATTGGTTACATCACACCCTGAGTACAAAACTGATAGTGTAAGGATATATATCCATTGAATTAATTAAGGGTTACACGACAATAATAGAAAATATAAATGACATTTCGAAACAATTGAAGAAGTCGTTGATTTAGGTCCAAGTCTTTTTTAGTGAATGCGATGTATAAATTTGTCGGAGATGTATAATAATTTAAGTAAAAATAGACTAGGTTGTTAAAGATAAGATAAGAAAAAGAAAAAGAAAAGGATGAAGGATATGATTCCAAAATAAAAAAAAAAATAAAAATTGAGTTAGATATGTTTGGTTTGGTATGTAGGAAAGCTAGATAGGAGTTGTAAAATTAGGATGGAAATAACAAGAAAGAGACAGTGTGTGAGAGTGAGATGTCTTAATGCAAAGCATTATTTCATTTGAAACGAAGGTTTGGTTGTTGTCAATTGAGGACCAAATATGGTGGAATATTTATGTATTTATAAAGTTCAAAATAATAATTGATCATCTTATTATTGAAGGATTATCAACAATTGGCTTCATGCCCAAATACAAAGTAGATGTAACCCAAACCCATCATTTTGTTAGGTGAATATGCTGTCTTCACAACGACCCTTTTCGTTAAAGTTCAAATATCTAACTCTATCTATTAATTAGCTTATGGATTGTACTAATTAATACAATTGCAATGAACCTACCTATAAATAAATTTACGAAAAGAGTGATGTTATTTTCATAAAATCGGCTATTTGGGATCCCAATAGTTTTCTCAAGATTATCCGAAATTATCAATACAAGAGTATTGAACCTATTTGAATCTAATATGATTATAAGTAGTTCTTATTTTACGAAAAAAGTAATATTATACTTACAAATTCGAGATACAAAGTATGGGGGAGGGAGAGAACAAAATCCTACTAAGAACATATATATATATATATATATATATATATAGTGACTGTGAGTTGTGACCCCCAGGCCATGACTGAGTTCTCACCAATCAAACACACATGGTCTTGTTTATCAAATGTTTGTAATTCTTTGTCTACACATAATTTTTAACATTTCTTAAAAGGACACTCGCAACACAACCAAACCAATGCTTGGTCCTACCTGTATCTTTATATTCATAGTNTAACTTTTGATTTGTGACAAGCGTATCATCTTAACGTTCATTAATTTTGTGTGATACAATAACAATAGAAGATGTAAATGATATTTGGGAAAGCACAAAAGATGTCCAAATTTTTTAATGAATGTGTCCAAGATGTAAATCAGTGAAGGTGATATACTAATTTGTGTCTCTATTTTCTTGACATTTTATCACTGATTGGGAAGCTTAATCAATGTTTTTCAAGTGAATTATTAACACCACCTGTTACTATTATGGTAGATATAAATCACTATCAATATCACCCTTAGTTTAGATTAAGGGGTTAAAATTAGCATGTTTTAAGAAAAAAAAGTTACAATTATTGGTTACATCACACCCTCAGTACAAAACTGATAGTGTAAGGATATATATCCATTGAATTAATTAAGGGTTACACGACAATAATAGAAAATATAAATGACATTTCGAAACAATTGAAGAAGTCGTTGATTTAGGTCCAAGTCTTTTTTAGTGAATGCGATGTATAAATTTGTCGGAGATGTATAATAATTTAAGTAAAAATAGACTAGGTTTTTAAAGATAAGATAAGAAAAAGAAAAAGAAAAGGATGAAGGATATGATTCCAAAATAAAAAAAAAAATAAAAATTGAGTTAGATATGTTTGGTTTGGTATGTAGGAAAGCTAGATAGGAGTTGTAAAATTAGGATGGAAATAACAAGAAAGAGACAGTGTGTGAGAGTGAGATGTCTTAATGCAAAGCATTATTTCATTTGAAACGAAGGTTTGGTTGTTGTCAATTGAGGACCAAATATGGTGGAATATTTATGTATTTATAAAGTTCAAAATAATAATTGATCATCTTATTATTGAAGGATTATCAACAATTGGCTTCATGCCCAAATACAAAGTAGATGTAACCCAAACCCATCATTTTGTTAGGTGAATATGCTGTCTTCACAACGACCCTTTTCGTTAAAGTTCAAATATCTAACTCTATCTATTAATTAGCTTATGGATTGTACTAATTAATACAATTGCAATGAACCTACCTATAAATAAATTTACGAAAAGAGTGATGTTATTTTCATAAAATCGGCTATTTGGGATCCCAATAGTTTTCTCAAGATTATCCGAAATTATCAATACAAGAGTATTGAACCTATTTGAATCTAATATGATTATAAGTAGTTCTTATTTTACGAAAAAAGTAATATTATACTTACAAATTCGAGATACAAAGTATGGGGGAGGGAGAGAACAAAATCCTACTAAGAACATATATATATATATATATATATATATATAGTGACTGTGAGTTGTGACCCCCAGGCCATGACTGAGTTCTCACCAATCAAACACACATGGTCTTGTTTATCAAATGTTTGTAATTCTTTGTCTACACATAATTTTTAACATTTCTTAAAAGGACACTCGCAACACAACCAAACCAATGCTTGGTCCTACCTATATCTTTATTTTCATAGTCGTGTACAAGAGTTTTATATT